GATAGAAATTGATTTTTTAAGGGGTGGGACAAGAGATTGGGGAGATCTAAACACTGTTCCCCACCCCCGCTGCTCCCACCTAACCATAAAAAAAACAAACCACCTGTTCCTTTTTTTAACCAAATACTTGTAACGCACAGGATCAACGACCAAGAGCCGCTGGACACACAGAAGTTACTTAAGCGCTTGGAACACCCTGGACAAGAAAACGTCGGGCTACTCTGAGACTCTCCATGGCTGGGATGTGGATTTCATCCCCGCCTTAGATCCGGGACCGAGCGCCCCCTCGCCCTTCTTGTGGGACAAGGGGAAAAAGAATCAAACTGGTACCGAAAAAAAACAAAACAAAGAGAGAAGCCTCTAATTTGTGATTCAGGAATCCCCTCCCCACCCCAAAAGAGACGACGGTGTCGTCGTCATCATTAGGTTATTTTCGAATTCATGGAAGTGCCCATCGGGAATCAAGCCAATTCCTGGCTTCCCAGGCCTGCTCTCTTTAAGGACGTTACATTCAGTGTTTGTCAGCAGTTTATATGGCTCAGCTGAGCTGCCGGTCTAGCAGCGTGTCTAACAATGGCAGTGCAAATACATCTTTTGAGTTGAAATGCATTTGTGCTGTTTTTTTTTTTTTTTTAAACACAACTTCCCTTTGTTCATTCATTCCCTAGAAACGGAAACTTTCAAACTTAAAATATAAACCCCACGACACTCCTCTCTCGCCCCCTCCCCCCTCCCGGCTGCTCTCGATCCTGTGGGTCACTAAAGAGAAACCAGACGCTCCGGTTTTAACAAAAGTGCTTGAAGCAAGTGCTGTGAAGCGAGGGCGTGGAGAGAAACTTCCTTGGAGGGTGGGGGGCAATGCCAGCCCCGGTGAGTTCGAAAGTGGTCTCGGGGGGCACTGAAGGGGTTTACTCTACACCAAATCTATGCACGGAGCCTAAGACAGCGATAAGCGGGCATGGTCTGACTTTGGCATAAAGGTCTGTGGAGAGGAAGTCTTAGATAAACTCCTCCCCCGCCACCACACACAAAACACTTAACGTTCTTACGCCGATGCAAATGAGGTGTCTTGGGGGGGGGGGTCCCCGAGCGGAAGTTTCCCTCCGACCCTCTTTACAATGCACTAGGGAAACCATCACAAATCTCGTTTAGCAAAATAATGCATTATTACCAAACACTTTGATTATTACTTAAATTGTCAAGCTGTGCTGTCAAATGTATACATTACAGCGTTAAAGGAGAACAAGACTGGCGCCTGCGGAAAAAAACACCATTTCCCAAAATTTTCCCCCCCACCCCTCCCTCAATGCCCCTCCTACGGATGCACTGCTGGAATTTTTGTCCACTCCATTATTATTAGGTTTAAAAAAAAAAAAAAAGACAAGGGAAGGGGTAAAAATAACCCCCCAAAAACTTACTAAGAGCAAATAAAATGAACTTAAACACAAGTACGATGCGTCCGAGCGAAGAAATGCTGAAGCCCTTAGAGAGATCACATTGATTGTCTTGTCAGAGTTTAATCATTACCATGTCAAGTGAAGAGGTAACGCATTACAGCACGAAAACAAGGCAAACCAAAGGCTGGTTTTTTTTTTCTTTAAAAAAATAAAAGCTTAAAACCACTATAATACTTGAAAAAAAAAAAAAAAAAAGCACACTTCATATACTATGCTAAGATATTCCCTTGCCCTGAAGAGGGGAAAAAGGCTGCCCTTATTTGAAATGATTTCAAAATCCTTCCCCTGGGATATTTCATTAAAATGAAAGCAACACGGCATTAAAGTGAGTTCAGCGCCGGCCCTGTGAAGTTCGTGCACACAAGATGAAATCTTAGCCTTGGAGTCAATGGGCATTTTGCCATTTGCTTCCACAGTGCGAGCATTTCACTCCAAAGTACCGAGCTGCTAAAGGAGTTCTGCCACAACCCTGGAATCCTCCCCTCCCACCCAACGTGTCAGGGCTCTGGGATGGACCCCAGCAATTCTGTCTTTGTTCCTTCTACCCGCCCCCACCCCGGGGAAGGACAAAGAGAAGGGAAGCCAGAGCTTCCCAACCTGCACAGCTTTCTCAGTGTATTGCTCTTGTACGCTTCTGAACAATCAGACTTGCTGTAGCACTGCAGGGGAAAAGACATTTGCCCTTGGGAAAGAAAAGACAAACGGTGACTTTGGACCCATATTCCTGCCCCCTCCTCCGGAAGGGGCTTATTTGGAAGGCTGAGAAATAGGCGAAGCCTGAAGTCAGTATGTCAAACATGAAAAGAGAAAGCATTGCAAGAGGCAAGTACCTGAACTCGACAATAATGTAAACAAGTCTTTTTTTTTTTTTCCAGTTCTCCCTCTGCAGAATACTGAAAAGGATCTTTCAAGAGGATCTTTCATTCAAGTTTTGTGTGGTCTGAGTCCGAACTGAGGTATTCGGTGTAGAAAGGTAACACTTGCTATCAAGGTAGAGAGCATTAGTGCGGAGGATGGAGGTTAGGAGAGACTCGATCTTGCCGCAATGTACCTAAGAAGTGAGCCTTTCGTAACATGGTGGTGGAGGAGGACTGGTTCAAACAGGCCACAGTGCTGATGGCCAAGAGCATCTTATATAGTGGCCTACAGCCCATGTTGTTTGAGCCTCACAGAATGGGCCAGTATCCAGCGGGCGAGGAGAAACCACCACTCTGCGCTTGTGCTCTGGGTGGCTAGGCTATCCGGGACCCCAGCGCCGTAGGTTTTATTGAAGCGCATTGAGGGAAACGGGAAGGAAGAAAAGGTCTGAAGCCAGCCCAGCTGGGGATGTTAGGCCCCCCTCTGAAGCCGAGACCTGGCTACTTCGCTTCCCACAGAGGAGCCCCTAGAGTGCAAAGCACCCAAGTTCCGCGGCTGTGCACATCTCAAGGGCGGTGTTGAGCGGGGGTGTCACATGGCAATGTTATGCTGTGAGGCTAAAGACAGTGACGCGCAACAGGAAAAAGAAACCGCCAGGCCATCTATGTCTTTGCTACTCTCCAGGTGAAACCCTCCCGGGAAAGGAAGAGAAGAGCCGACCACCCAAAGGCCAGGACTGCGGCTTCACATTTGGTTCTAAGAGTTTTAACTTTGGTAAAAGAGCGCATCAGCAGCTCTTTGCTGTTCCAGACTTGAATAGCTCCTCTGTGTCAGCACGCCCACATCCTCATCTCTCTACTCTGGCTGTGTCTGCAGGATACGGCAATTCCTCGCGATGCCCCCGCCGCAAAGCACCGTAAACATCTGGCCAACACACAAATCCAGAATCATCTTCATTTCCGAAGATGCGCTTTTGATCTGCAACGCGAGGCGGGCCAGCCAAACCGTACGGCTCACCTCTTTCCTGTAACAGTCCTATTGACCAAGAGGAGAAAGTAACTGACTAGCACCGATAGCTTGCTGAATGAAAAGGACAGAGATCCTTTCGTGGGTCTCCTTTGACCCAACCCAATTCTTGGTTCTCGAGCAATTTCATTCAGCACCTGCACCCATGTCACCTGACTATGGTTTGAGAACCAGCCTGTTCCCCCATCCCCAAGGCTGCAAAAGGAAAAAGAATCAAGTGGAAAAGATCGGACGTTGAAAGGTTTTTGCCCCGTCGACCCGCTTTGATCGCTACATCCCAGTCTTTGGCTTTGAATGGACTTGCGATATGGTGAAAGTTCTTGGTTTTTTTTTTTCCTTTTGTTTTTGCACATGATACTGTTACAGTAATTTGAGAAAAAGTAGTGCACATTCTTGAATGTTTAAACATGCATTATAAATATGACTTTTAAAATAAAAAATAAACACCACTAAAACGAAAAAGCCACGCATCCCACCCACCCACACACACGCACACGCTAACAAAACCTGCCAAGATGCCACGTGAGAAAAATAAATACAGGCTTAGGTTTGTGAATAAGGACTTTGAAGTGCATTATTTTTCCTTAATTAAAAGGTTAAAACTTTCAGAAAATTATTTTTTGTTGTGTTTTTTTTAAGGTAAAAACTCATTTCGTTATAAATAATTTTTTAAAAAGCAACACTGACTGACGCTCACAGAGGAATGACCACGCCGACACGGAGAGGAACAAAAGAAAACAAGGAATCGCCTCTCAGGAGCCAACATTTTTCCAAACGAAAAAAAATCCCTAAAGTGCCTGGTGTGAGGAGGGACTATTCCAGCAGTGCACACGTGGGCCCCGAGCTGACCGCAATGGCGGGACAGTAGCACCCGTTTTTGCATATGAAGGAGTGAGAGCTGCCAACGGTTATCTCAATACCCTGGGTACAGTAGTCGGGGGATTCAAGTGTTCTGGCGGGAATCCAAGGAGCAGAAAAACAAAGCAATTCAGATGAAGGGGGTGTTACAATGGCACTTGCCCGGGTGCTAATGACCACCGCTCGGCGGTCGCTCGTTTGTCTAATTCCCCCCTCCCCCAAAATATCTCCCCCCAGAGTTCAAGTTTCCGCTTTCCGGCCAGCCTGTGCAAAGGTGGAACGAACACGGTTCTGCAAAGCCAGGGGCATGGAGGGGAAAGGAAAGCAGAAGGTTACGCAGGCAAGGTCCAAGAGGAGGTGGAGTCGAGCCAACTCCTGGGCCGGGAGGGACCGAACGTTCCTCCCATCTAACGGCTGCCGCGTGAAAGGAATCTGCGGTCCGACCCAGACTGGCGGAGAAGCCCCCCTACCAGTGAGTGGCCTGGGAAAGTTGATAGCTCCTGGGAGCCCAGCTGTTCCCAAGAGACAACGCCCAGTGACGGCCCTGATCTCATGAGTGTGGCGGCAGGAGGAGGGCACACTAGGAGAACCCAGTCTCCCCCCCC